AATAAAGACTTCTACATTTGGAACTACATACAGCATATTAAAAGGCAGAGACATTACTTTGCCAACAAAAGTCCATACAGTCAAAGCTGTGGTTTTTACAGTGGTCATGTATGGATATGAGAGTTGGACTATACAGAAAGCTGAGCACAGAAGAATTGATGCTTTTGAACTGTGGTGTTGGAGGAGACTTTTGAGAGTCCCTTGGACTGCAAGGAGATCCAACCAGTCCATCCTAAAGGAGATCAGTCCTGGGTGTTCACTGGAAGGACTGATGCTGAGGCTGAAACTCCAGTACTATGGCTACCTGATGTGAAGAGCTGACTCACTGGAAAAGACCCTGATGCTGGGAAAGACTGAAGGCAGGAGGAGAAGGGGACAAAAGAGGATGAGATGGTTGGATGGCATCACTGACTCAATGGACGTGAATTTGAGCAGGCTTTGGGAGAGCGAAGGTCAGGGAGGCCTGTCGTGCTGCAGTCCATGGGGTTGCAACGAGCTGGACACAACTGAATGACTGAACAACAATATTTTGTACTTCACCTCAATCTCCTTTAGTCTGATCTGCCTAAGAGCAAGTCTGAGGTAGTATTATATCCTTTCTACAAATAAGGAGATCAAAGTACAAAAATTAAGATAACTAACTGTATCACATGATTAAGAAACAGTTGGATCATGGGATGAATTCAGTTCAACTCAAACAAGTGTTTGCTTCATTCATTCCCTAAAATGCTTCCAGCCTGGAAGAAGGAAACCAAGAGAGGTAAATTTAGATCCAACTTCATACATGTAAGCCTCCAAAGGATAACAACATTAAAAACAATGTTACAAATAATGTTACAGCAGGAGCCAAAGAAGATGGTAGAGTTATAAAACTAGTAAAATAATTCACCAGGAGGTTGAAAAAAACAAAAAGTCATAATTAACTGACAGGAAATCAAGTTTTAACCAGAAAACAGTCATCATTTCCCAAAAACTTTCTAAAATCTATTCATAATATATTACTAGTTTCTTAGGTAACTCCGGAATCTATACTAGTTCATAACTCAACTCTACAAAGTAGAAGATCCTAAAAATAAGCCAAATAAATATAACACATATATATCAAATATGCTGACCCTAAGCCTTAGCATAGAAACCATTTTCAAAATCATAAAACCCTAGTACTTTAAGACATCAAGTTGGATAGCAAATGTAGATAATCTGACCCCATCATTTTAAAATTAAATAAAAAGCTGCCCAAAGAACTTCTGTCCAAAAAGTAGAGAAGCAGAATCTGGAGCAACGAAACTAAAAAGCAGAGAAAATATATTTAATGAAGTTTCTAGATCATCAATAACTATATACACAAACTAAACATGGCTTTAGAATAGTTTTGTAGCCAGTACTGCATAGAAGTGACATTAATGCTATAGCTAATAGACAACAGACAGCTGTATACAGTACGCTAGACACTCATTATAGTTGTATTCCTCAGATCTGTTTTTATAATCTATATAACATTTTATAGAAAATGAAAAATACATCCAATCTAGGTACATGGCACCTGTCTGATTCAAAAAATGACTAAAACAGAAACCCATTATTTGGGGGGGAAGATTTTACATCAAGTCCTCAATTCTTTGCTTCACCATCAATCATTTGAATCCAAAAATGTCAAGTCATCGTCCTCACTTTACCCCTGCATAAAGCTCCCTCTGGTAAATAAAGGATTCCTTTCCCCATTCTAAAGTCTACCTTACTTACAGTGCCACAAATAAGCACATTCAAATATTCTGCTACCTTGGGTAAGACAGCAAGTTCACCATTTAACACTCGAGATAAAGCTAAGCATTTCATATTTTTAAAGAAAGTTCCCCTAAAATCATTTAAAGGACAAAATTAAAAATAAACCATAAATATCTGCAAAAATCCATGTACAAACATTTTATCTTTACAGTTACATCAAGGACACAAAAAGCTATGCCACTGAAATACACAAAGACAATGCTGCCATCTAAAGGCCAAGATATAATATTAAAAAAAGTATATACTTAGTCAAACACTCAGTGTATATAAAAGCACACAGTTTGTTTGATATTCTAAAGTCAGCAAACTTTATACTTTGGAAAAGCACTACACTATGATTATTTTCAGGCTACACAATAAAACCCTAACACTCTTTGGAGAAGGTTCTTCTTAAGATTAATAAGAGAATTAGCAAAATAATTTGGCTAATGATCAATATCTATCTGTACAGGTAAAGTTCTGCTGGCATCCTTTCAGACACAATATTCTCCTAAGTATCTGTATTAGTTGTTTGTCCTATTTAATGACATTTATTATCCCTGTCTATAATTAACTATACAATAGAATTACATATCTGCATATATAAATATTATTTGTCATTAACCAGATTATTATTTCTACTTGCCCTATTTAAAATATTTGTTGCTAAGGAACTAATGATATAACATCTCAGAACACAAAAACCCAGACTACTTAAAATCACAGCTTTGCAAGTAATTCAAATATTTCTCCTTATTTCATAATTCCTAAAAATACAAACCAAAGTTCCTATGGGAGATGAGTTATCAACAGCGTAACAGTCCAACAGAAAGAATTCAAATGATTCTCAATTTCTCTTTCTAAAAACCTTAAATTGAAAGAATTTCATTGAACTAAAATATAGGAAAAATTACTTCAAATTAGCAATGAAATCAAAATGTTTACTGAATAACACTACATAAAAAACTGATTCCTTTAGCATCTAAGTACATAATATCTTTCTAATGGACCATAATATCAAGGACATTTGAATATAACTAGAACCTTCAAAAACCATGGTTAACTCCTTTAAGAAACCACCGACTAAAATTTTTCTCTGAAACAAAGATGTTTTTGAGCATCTTCTGTATGTGGGATTCTATGCTTGGGGCAGGGTTTCAAACTGTAGATCAGTCACCTTCTGGGTGGCTAAAATGCTCTTGGAATCAGTGGCTCACAGATGTCTAAATTTCAAGAGACAGGTAAAGAAAACTGGCTTGGGTGCAGAAGTGCCACCTTTTTATTTTGTAATGTTGATTTGGGACATTAAAAGTGAACAACCAACCAAACAAGACTGATCAGGTAGGATTTGTTTTGCCCTTTCTAAATGTCAAATTTAAATTTCATTTTATGTTGTGTTCTCTAATTAATAAAAGGTTTTCACCCTAAAGACAAAAAAAAAAGAATGTTTCTCTGGTTTTGCTCAACAAGAAAACAAATATTAATCTGTCAACAAATGTTTCCATTATGTGAGAAATATTAAACACTAAGTTGGTATGACGATCTTTTAATTTATCTTGACTGTAAAATGGAAACAGACGACAAACACAGTCAATATCTCATAAAACCACTCGTTTTTTATGTTTCCTATGAGTCAGAATTAATACTACACAATTTAAGGACATTATGTCATTTAATCCTCAAAACCACAACTCGCAAAAAGACAAATACTAATAACCCAATTTGCAAAAGACGTTCAAAAACTCTAAGTAGCTTTCCCAGGGACACAATACAGGATTCAAAAATTCACTCTCTCTGACCCGGAAGACCTTACTTGTCTCCAAAAGAACATAAAGACTCAGGAGTGATTATTAAAATTGTATTAAATGTAAAGAGGAATAGGAATTATTTTTATTATGCAATTTTAGAGAAATATATAATTCTATGTGGTAATAAAAGCATATATTTTAAATTCACAGTGTTTCAATTTTTTTCTTACTATAATCTTTATTTTTCTTTTAATCTTTTTTTTAAAAAAAAAAAGCATTAACTTACTTGAAGTGCTGGCATTTGTTAGAGACTTTTGAAAACTTACCTTAATACGTGAGAGGTATTTACTAAATTTTGTAAACTAACTCTAAGGGTGGGTGGGGCAACAAAAAGATCTCAATTTTGCAGATACAGTTAAAAAGCACATCTTCTTTGTGAATCTGATACGTATTCATGACCATCTTCCCCACATGTTAATGTAGAGCATTTTTTCAACATCAAGAACTCTACTAATGCCTCTGCAGTGACAGCTTTTTCTGTTAAAAGTTTTTTTTCTATATTGCATACTCATCAAATCAAATGAATTTGGAATATTATTCAGCTACAAAAAGGAATGAAGCTCTGACACATGCTACAACACAATGAACTCTGAAAAAATATGGTAAGGCAAAGACCACATATTGTGTTCTTCTGTTTATATGAAATGTCTGGAACAGACAAATCCATGGAAACCAAAAGTACATTACCAGTTGCCATGAGCTAGAAGAAGGGGGATGAAGAGGGACAGCTAATGGACACAAAGTTTCTTTACGGGATAGTAAAACCATTTTAGAATTAATGATGATGATTGCACAACTGTGTGAATATACTGAATTGTACATTTTTAAAAGGCAAATTTTATGATATGTAAAGTATATCTCAATAAGAGAAAATTACATGGTTTTAAATATATTTATAAAACACTGTGTATGATTATCTATACATGTGCTTAAAATATAATGTAAATTCTATGTAACACTCTAAAACCTATCTAACTACCGAGATTATCTGTTTCAATTTATTGAACCCCATTTTACACCATACTAAGTGAAAGGCTCTATTTCACAAACGTACATCTTCTTGAATATTAAAAATTCCTAACTATCTAAAATTACTATAATCCCTAGGGCAATCAGAAGGAATGACAACTACATACTCATGTTTGGCAGCCAAATTTCATTTTTTCCAATTAATATTTTCCACTGTCAGAGTTTAGGAAAAAACACATTAGCACATGCTAATGAAGAATTTTTAACATCTAAGTACCATATACAAGCAAGCATCCACATGACTATAAAATCAAATTATACAAATTTTTTTTAAGATTCTTACTTTGAAGTAGAATTTGCCTCTAAACCACCAAAAGAAGCAGAAAAAAAATGATAACACTAAGTTATAAGGCGTTCTAGACTTAAATGAAAAACAGAAGGATGATAAGAAGTACTTACTAATTTGTTTTCCTGCATGTATATTCTCTGTAATTTCAGACAGCCCTTAGCTATGACGATCATGCCTTCATCTGAGATCTTGTAACACTGGCCGAAATGAATATCTTTGAGTTCTCTGCATTTCAACCCCAGCTGTAAATAAAGAGATTTCGCTGAATGCTCCAAAAATAACAAAGTCAACATATTTCTAGTGGGATTTCCAAATAATTTTTTAAATAGCTATACCAAAGTTAAATAATTATTTATAAATTTCTCTTAAAATAGAATGTAGGCAATCTCATTGAAAACTGCTGTGTAAGCCCTTTGACCTTCTAATCATTTCCTTGCTTCAACTGCCTCACACTATACATCCGCCAAGAGGCCTAGGTTCCTTAACACTTCAAATTCATATCTTTATTACTGTTAAGTCTTTTTATCAGTCATACTGTTAGACTGAAAGGAATAGAGATCCAAGGGATAAAACCAAAGTCCAAGAAGTGAAACATGATACAGTGAGTGAGTGAATGAGTGTTCAATTCATGAGATTCTACTTCTAGCTCAGACTGCCCACAATGTGTCCTTTTTCTCCATCAGCTCATTTACACTGTGAAAGAGAAAAAAGACTGAATATGCTGGAGCCAATATTCTAGTTAACGCTTATTTACACACTTATTGCAAACACTAAAACAAAAGGGACTCGTGATTTCCTGATTACTTTGCTCAAGTGTACATTAAGAAGTTACAAGTATAATGTTCCCCTTAAAAAACATTAAGCACCATATAGAACAAATTACATACATTTCTTTCCAAAATCTAGAGGAGAAATTAGATAATTAGAGCAAATTATAAATAAACATTGTTTTATGAGTATTACATATGAAGAAAGTCATCTTAGATAAAATGAGAAAATTTAGTAAAAATCTATAAATCAAAAATTATCTAAAAAATTACATTAAAACAAGAAATCCAGTGTTGACAAGAGTTCAAAGTGTATAAATTATTACTAAAAATCATGGGGGTGGAATAAATAAATAAAATAAAAATCATGGGGGGTTTATAAAATTTTTTTAATTTTATAAAATTTGCCTGAAAATTATATAACTCGGCATCTAAATATTTACCAAAAAATGTAAGAAGAATGGATAATTGACTAGATATACAGTGAAGTCAACACACTAAAATGTTAATTATACAACCTACATAGTGGGTATTCAGGTGTCGACTCTAAAATTCTTTCAAATTTTCCATACATTTAAAATTATTCATAACAGATCATTGAAATAATTAACTAAAGGTGTTAAGAGTTAGCTACAAGAAATTAGCACAATAGCTTTTTAAATAGTAAAATAGAGAAAATAACTTAAAGTTATAAATTATGGTGTTTGCATAAAAGTGAATATTAGATAACCATTAAATTGAAATAATCTTGGTTCATTTCCAAGGAAAACCATTCAATATCACATTAATCAAAGTCTATGCCCCAACCACTAATGTCAAAAAAACTGAAGTTGAACAGTTACTATGCAGACCTACCAGAAGTAGGTCAAGTTACTTCTAGAAGTAACACCAAAAAAAAAAAGATGTCCTTTTCACCATAGGGGACTAGAAGACAAAAGTAGCAAGTTAAGTGACACCTGGAGTGACAGGCAAGTTTGGCCTTGGAGTACAAAATGAAACAGGTCAAAGGCTAACAGTTCTGCCAAGAAAACGCGCTGGTCATAGCAAACACCCTCTTCCAACAACACAAAAGACTACACATGGACATCACCAGATGGTCAATACCGAAATCAGGCTGACTATATTCTTTGCAGTCAAAGATGGAGAAGCTCTATACAGTCAGCAAAATCAAGACTGGAAGCTAACTGTGGCTCAGATCATAAACTCCTTATTGCCAAATTCAGACTTAAATTGAAGAAAGAAAGGAAAACCATTAGGCCATGCAAGTATGACCTAAATCAAATCCCTTCAGATTACACAGTAGAAGTGAGAAATAGATCCAAGGGGTTAGAACTGATAGACAGAGTGCCTGAAGAACTATGGACGGAGGTTCATGACACTGTACAAGAGGTGGAGATCAAAACCATCCCCAAAAAACAGAAAGGCAAAAAACAAAATGGTTGTCTAAGGAGGCCTTACAAATAGCTGAGGAAAGAAGAGAAGTGAAAGGCAAAAGAGAAAAGGAAAGACAAATCCATCTGAATGAAAAGTTCCAAAGAATAGCAAAGAAAAAGAGGAAACCAACAGAATGGGAAAGACTAGAGATCTCTTCAAGAAAATTAGGGAGCATTTCATGCAAAGATGGGCACAATAAAGGACAGAAACAGTATGGACAGAAGCAGAATACACAGAACTATAAAAAAAGGTGTTAATGACCTGGATATCCATGATGGTGTTATCACTCACCTAGAGCCAGGCATCCTGGAATTTGAAGTCAAGTGGGCCTTAGGAAGCATCAGGACAAACACAGCTAGTGAAGGTGATAGAATTCCAGCTGAGCTATTTGAAACCCTAAAAGATGATGCTATGAAAGTGCTGCACTTTTCCAAATAGGCCATCAAATTTGGAAGAATCAGCAGAGGCCACAGGACTAGAAAAGATCAGTTTTCATTCCAATCCCAAAGAAAGGCAATGCCAAAGAATGCTCAAACTACCACACAATTGCATGCTAGCAAAGTAATGCTCAAAATCCATCAAGCTAAGCTTCAATAGTATATGAACCAAGAACTGCCAGATGTACTGCCAGATGTACAAGCTATTTCGACAAGGCAGAGGAACCAGAGATCAAATTGCCAACATCCGCTGGATCATAGAAAATGCAAGAGAATTCCAGAAAAACAACTACTTTTGCTTCACTGACTACACTAAAGCCTTTGATCTCGGGCAGTTCTACACTGACTGACTAGTAATTTCTACCAGTGAATCCTAAAGGAAATCAGTCCTGAATATTCATTGAAAGGACTGATGCTGAAGCTGAAGGAAGTTCCAATACTCTGGCTATCTGATGGGAAGAAATGTCTCAGTTGAAAAGACCCTGCTGGGAAAGATTGAAGGCAGGAGGAGAAGGTGATGACAGAGAATGAAATGGTTGAATGGCATTGCCAATTAGATGGACATGAGTTTGGGCAAGCTCCGGGAGTTGGTGATGGACAGGGAAGCCTGGTGTGATACAGTCCATGGGGTTGCAAAGAGTCAAACATGACTGAGTGACTGAACTGAAAGCCTTTGACTTTGTGGATTACAACAAACTGTGGAAAAGTCTTAAAGAGACTGGAATACCAGACCACCTGACCTGCCTCCTGAGAAACCTGTAAGCCGGTCAAGAAGCAACAGTTAGAAACAGACATGGTACAACAGACTGGTTCCAAATTGGGAAAGGAGTATGTCAAGGCTGTATACTGTCACCCTGCTTATTTAACTTATATGCAAAGTATATCATGAGAAAGGCCAGGCTGGATGCAGCACAAACTGGAATCAAGATTGCCAGGAGAAATATTAATAACCTCAGGTATGCAGATGATATCACCCTTATGGCAGAAAGCGAAGAGGAACTAAAGAGCATCTTGATGAAGGTGAAAAGGGAGAGTGAAAAAGCTGGCTTAAAACCAAACATTCAAAAAACTAAGATCATGGCATCCCATCCCATCACTTCATGGCAAACAGATGGTGAAACAATGGAAACAGTGGCAGACTTTATTTTAGGGGGCTCCAGAATCACTGCAGATGATAACTGCAGCCATGAAATTAAAACACACTTGCTCCTTGGAAGAAAAGCTATGACAAACTTAGACAGCATATTAAAAAACAAAGACATTAATATGCCGTAGAGTCAAAGCTATGGTCCATAGAGTCAAAGCTGTGGTTTTTCCAGTAGTCATGTATGGATGTGAGAACTGGACCATAAAAAGGCTGAGCATTGAAGAATTGATGCTTTTGAACCGTGGTGTTGGAGAAGACTCTCAAGAGTCCTTTGGACTGCAAGGAGATCAAAGAGTCAGTCCTAAAGGAAATCAACCCTGAATATTCATTGGAAGGACTGCTGCTGAAGCTGAAGCTCCAATATTTTGGCCATTTGATGCAAAAAGCTGACTCATTGGAAAAGACCCTGATGCTGGGAAAGATTGAAGGCAGGAGGAGAGGACAACAGAGGATGAAATGGTTGAATGGCATCACCGACTCAATGGACACAAGTTTGAGCACGCTCCAGGAGATGGTGAAGGACAGGGAGGCCTGGCGTGCTGCAGTCCACTGGGTCGCAAAGAGTTGGACACGACTGAGTCTCTGAACAACAGCAACAAAAAAAACTGAAGTAAACACTTGACAAATAAAATGTAAACTGTGCATGTCTTTACAATACAATTCCACTAATTATGCATATGTATGTACACACATACATATTCAAATATATGCATACGTATAGAAAGGAGATGAAATATACACCAAAGTGTTTACAGTAGTTATTTCTGATCGGTGCAACAATGGGTATTGCTCTTTTTTTTCTTTTTTACCAATCTTATCACATCTTTTTGCAAATAAATCATTTGTTAAAAAAAAACTTTCAAGTTTTTGTTTCAAATAAAGTAAGAAAGAGTCAGAAAGATACACAATTTCAACTATTTTTCTAGGAATGGTGATATACACAAGGCATGTTATTTTAATCTAGGTAACATGATAACCAGACACATATTCCACTGGAAATATAAACTCCAAGACAGAGATTTCACTAATGTAGCCCTGGTGCCCGTGTCTAATACTCAGCTGATACTTAGTAAATATTTGTTGAATGACTGAAAAGATTGATCAGAGTTTTTCATTGTTAAGAAGTCTTTTTGAGAAATGGACGAATAAAGGGATCCATGAATATGGTCCCATATACTACCATGTTCTATTTAATTGAACAGTTCTAAATTGGGTCCACAGGTGGAAATCAAGGATTCCAGGTAAATGCATAAGGAAAAAAAAAAGGTACATTTTTATTTACTTGCTATTCTCTAATGAACTTTAACCTCTCCTTCACTTGTTAACAATCATAGCAGTTGAGCAGCATGCATAACTCTGTAAACAACAGGGAACAAGAATAATCTCATATAACATTACTGCTGTCACAGATACAGTAACATAGCATTTTTGTCATCAGTTTTCATCATGTTCGTTAG